ATCAAATTCATTCACATCATTCGGATCAAATTCATCTAGAATATTAATTGTCGTACTATGGGTTTGTGTCTGCATCTCCTGCCGCAACCGCTTTTCGGTTTGTTCACTTTGCTTTCGCAACTGGTAAGAAAAACGCAAACCATTCTCACATTGCTCGCATATATGCTTTGGTAAAAAGTCATTTTCTTCTATCTGAAATTAAAAGATAATATTTATGTTAAAAATTATATCAAAGAATAATAATTATTTTCTTTACTGTAATGTTCGCGCAAACTCTTAGAAGTTCCGTCAATTGCTCATCGCCTTGAAAACACTTGAGTCTTTCAGCTCCACCACAAATACGGCATACTTCCATATTTTCCATATAAATGAATATTGAATTGGAATAATTTATTAAAAATTCGCCACAAAATGTTTGTTTACTTGAAAAAATGCAACAACATGATTACAGAAAGAACAAAACAGCTGATCGCGTTGCCAACTACCAATCAGTGCCCAAAATAATCGATAGTAGCGTAACGTTGAAAGTAATCGAATTAAATTGCTTCAAATTGGAAAAATAAAAATTTATAGGGAATAAAAATGCGATTAAACAAAAAATGTTGGCTAATTTTTAGCAAAATAAAGCATAGAAATTGTCTAGTTGTGCTGCAGGATGTAAAATATGTAGATTGTAAATTTAAATATTGCAGTCATTTCAGTGTACCAACTCTATGATAACTGAAACAAATTGTCATTAAGCGAACAGGCCCCACATTAAATATAAGTATGTGAGGGTGTTTTTAAGCTAAAGTCGCGCCAATATTAATATTTTCTGTTAGAAGTTAACGGTATTTTATTATATATGTAATTGTGTAAAATTTTCATATAAAAATGTTGTGAGTTTCTTAAAAGTATAAAAACAGTGTTATAATGAAAAAAACTAAATAAATTAAGCGGTAAGCGAATTTATATTTTATTATCAATATTTTTGGTAAAAATACATATGTAACTGCTTTTATCGTACTAAATTAGTAAGTTTTAAAGCTTTTCGCAACATAACGACTCCATGTGTCTTATCTGTTTTGGTATTATGCAAAACCATATGTTTTTTTAGCTCTGCAACGTTAGAAAATACGGATTGACACAGTTCGCACTGGAAGCATTCATTAGAGTTAGTGTGCTCTTTTATTGTATGCGCTTTTAAGTCCTCACTGGTTGCGAAGCAAAGTTCGCATATTTTACAAACGAAATCAGACTCAACGGATAGGTCATGTGTRGTCAAATGACGAAGCAAATTTTTCCTAAAGGAAGAAAAAAATTAATGAATACTATAAACTTATGATATACAATTACTTACTTAATTGCAAAGCATTTAAAACATTTTCGGCACTGGAATTTCTTTGCACGACTCGGTTCCAAAGCGGACGTCGTCATTAAGTCTACGACATGCGCTGACGAGCCAATATCCTCAGTGCTCTCTGATATGCTTTCGCCAGTAATCCCATTTGCTTTATCATGTAGAGGATCATCATCTATATATTCGAGTAGCATGTCTGAATTTTCTTCTGTTGTTCCTTCACGGTTCGCGCATGACATGGCAGAGTCAACACGCACATAGTCGTTCAAGTGTTTTTTCATATGCTCCTGAAGCAGTATTTTATCAGCAAACACTTCTTTGCATATGGCGCATGTTGTTAGCTCCATATTTCCATGTTGCGACTTGATTGTATGTCGTTTAAGAATATGGGTCTAATAAAAAATGGAATAAATTAAAATTTCTTATTTGTTGTGCTGTTAACTTTAAGCATTACCTTAAGTCCATCTTTTTGCCGGAAAAGTGCACCGCATTTTTCGCATGGAAATGGTTTATCGCCAGTATGTCGGCGTATATGAAATACTAGACTTTTACATTGTGTAAAACCTCTATGGCACACCTCACATTGATATGGTTTCTCCCCAGTGTGTGTGTACATGTGTTGCTTTAAGGATACATTCTGGGTGAAGCTTTTGTTACACACATTGCACTGAAATGGTCGGTTGCCTTCGTGTGTTGCCATATGTCGGGTAAGATTTGTTTTAGTGCTAAAGTCCCGATTGCATTTAAAACATAGAAATCTTTTTGATGTATTCAACGTATCGCCTTTTTTGGCTGATTTAGCGCTTGTTCCACGAACATGGGTTTTCGCATGATATTTACGTGTTTTACTTTTAATTTCTTTTTGAGCAACTTCAGTTTGCAGCTGTGATGTGGTGTCAACACTTTGTTCTTCATCTAGGTTATCTTCGACCATAGATTTCATTTCGATGTCATGGTCGTCCAATAGTTCTTCACTATCATCAAAGTAATCCAATTCTTTAGCTGCTGTAGTTTTATCGTGTTTAGAACTATTCTCTCCCAAAAACTCGCCATCTTCATCAAGCATTGCTTGATATTCCTTAAGAAATCCTCCACTACTTTGTGGTTGCGGCTCCTCTGTACTAAGACTGCTTCTGGTGTCGTCACTTGGTTGAAGATTTTCTTCCAATATTTCTAGTTCAGTTTGAGATTCTTCATCGGTATATTCAAGTATTTGTATTTCGTGTTCCGGTGAATGTTCTTTTGGTGTTTCAACTTCACACTTTGTAATATCATCTAGGTTTTCTTCTATTTCTACTTGAATATCGGACTCAAAAGATTGGAAAGTGTTTATTTCTTTATCTACATTTCCTTTCTTAAGATTTAATTTCATTTTATTTTTGTGTATATCTTTTGATATATCCTCCGATGGATCCTCTAATGGACCTAAGCTAGATCTTGTGGTCTTCAGTGTTATTTGTTCGATACTGTTTTCCGTTTTTCCAATAGCAGTTTTTCTGTTATTAGTTTTAACACCACTAGACATCTCGGAGGCAGAAATTGTGCTTTCATCGTTTTGTACCGACAGTTGTGTTGATGCTTCTGTTTTCTTGTCAGCATTCTCTTCATCAAGAATGTTTGACAACAGATCATCCTCATCTTCGTTGTTATTTGACTTTTCAATAGCGTTATTTGTTACTAATTGAAAGTCTTTGCTGATCTTTTCGAGAAACGTTTTCAAATTTTTTTCCGAGTCGTGGGCTAACTTTACGAAATCATAGGCTACTCGCAGTCGTTTTAAGCATTTAGAACAAATTATCGAGGGCATATCATCACTTTCAGTGAGCTGGAAAAAAAAAACGATAAGATAATAAAATATAACGAAATCGTAATATTGTTATTAATTTGTTTACAATACTACAATACTTTTCACGCCGCCCACCAATTATAGAATGAAATTATTTTCAACAAAATCGTTTATTAGGACAATTACAACGATTAGAAATTTACTTGACCTCAGTGATCCCATATTTAATTCTAGTATTTCCAAGACAAACAAGTAGATAACATTTAAAGTAATTCAATTTATTTTTATATTTATAATATGCATATATTTCACAAAGCGTTTTAAAGAATTTTGTTCACCTTTTGTCGGTTTGTTATTTATTTCTTATCTGGCACAGTTTGCGCAATCCAACTTAAATAAGGTGCGTTGCCATTTTCAATAGGCAAGGTTATAACCTCCGCCACACTGTAAGAATGGTTCTCACGTACAAACTTAATTACTTCGTCCATACGGCTAGTTCTCGTTTTGATCATCATTAAATATTCGTTATCCTCATTAACTTTTCCCTCCCACATGTAAATAGATTGTATATGTGGAATTATGTTGACACAAGCAGCCAACTTCTTCTCCACTAAACCTTGTGCTAATTTCTTGGCCAACTTGTTGTCTGGTGTTGTTACAAATGCCACCGAACTGCTGCCTGTAGTATATGAGTCTTCGGAAGTAGGATCACTCATGTCTTTACAACTGGTAGTTAAGCTGCTACCACAAGTTTTATATGATTGTGTAGTTGCTCTTGCGTTTAAAATATTCACTGCAACGACGAGGGTCACGAACAATTTACGAGAAGTTAAAAATATGGGTGTATAACGTCGGGAAAGCACCGTTCGTATGAATGATTGCATTTAGAATGTGTTCATTGGCAAAGTACACCTTAAATTCTGCCTTAAATAGCTAATTTAAGCCGTTGTTTTTGTTTATGTTTATCAGATTAATTTTGCTGATTGTACTGAAGTTCGTATTTCGTAGCAGAGCAGCTTTTTAAAAGCACATTTCATCACTCATGCATGCATGTGTAGCCGTGATTAAAGGCTGTCAAAGTAGCAGTAAGCAATTGGGTATTTCTAATCGATTTGTAAAATGCTACTTGAATTTTGACAACGTATATGATTTAACAAAATCGGTGGAAATGTACAAAAATATGATATTTCTTTCACCATACACGACTTTATCTTAATAGCAAATTAAATGAACCGGGTACAACTGCGTATTCACTTATTTGAACGACCCTGTTGTCACTAGTAAAAGAGTTTTCTGCACGGCCATCTTCTCTAGTACATCGTCAATTCGTGTACTAGAATTTAGACGGTTATATATACAAAATATTTACCTTCAAATGCGTTGTAAACACAAACTTTTCGCACAATTCTTCATCATTCAAAAGTGATACGCCATCGTCCGATTTCATGCAGACACGACATATATTTATATTAACGCGAAAATTCATTATATTTAGTAATTTTCTAATGAATTAATGCTGAAATAGCGAAAATTCACTTGTAACTCAAAACGAACGACAGCTAGCGGAATAATAACAAACGGATTGACTTACCAACACTGTACCCTAATTTTGGTGTTGCCAAAGTGAAGTGAAATGTGAATTCCATATTATATTGTTCACCATTGAAATCGGTTTCAATAAATAATACCAAACTAAGTTAAACTAATTTTCAATAACTATTTTATTACTCGTATATTAGTTATTTAGTAGATGATGTCTTACAAAAGTAATGATAATTGTTAACCAAAATATAAAAAAGTTGTAAAAGCACTAACCTGAGATGTGGCAGTGCTCTTTTCAATCACAGCTTGTCATTTCAGCCGTCATTTGCGAAGGAATAGTAAATAAAACAGATGGAAATATACTTGATGGATAAGAAAAGAAAGTACAATACTGAAAAGGAGGTGTCGGATATCGAAATCCAGTTTGTTGACACAGCGATTCTTGTTGCAATTTAATTAATAAAATATATATACATACTGCGTAATAGTTTAAATAATAACGTAGCTTTGCTACTTGCAAACTTAAAGGCAAAGATGCCAACGAATAACACCAGTTCCAATTTTAAGACTTTCAAAGTGGTGCTATTGGGTGAAGGTTGTGTTGGCAAAACTTCAATCGTTTTACGTTATGTCGAAGATAAATTCAATCCTCAACACATCAGCACCTTGCAGGCTTCATTTCTAACTAAAAAGCTAACTTTAGAGGATGGTAGCCGAGCACATCTTAACATCTGGGATACTGCTGGACAGGAACGTTTTCATGCTCTCGGACCTATCTATTATCGTGGATCACATGGTGCCATACTTGTCTATGATATTACCGATGAAGATTCCTTTCAAAAGGTAAAAAATTGGGTAAAAGAACTTAAACGTATGCTGGGTGCTGAAATTGTTATAACAATTGTGGGCAATAAGACGGATTTAGATGCACAACGCACGGTGCCACAAGATGTAGCATTAGAATATACCGAAAGTGTGGGGGCACACTATTTCGAGACATCTGCCAAAGCCAATGAAGGCATAGAGGAGCTATTCACAGCGCTTACACAATTGATGATACAACGTCATGCTCAACGCGAACAAGAAACTAGTTCATTGCGTCTGATGCAGGGTGGACGTACGTCACAACGGTTGATAGTTGAGGATGACTCACAGGATGGCGATGAAGAGGGCAGACAAACGCCTACAACGAATAGGTCATGCTGTGGTGCTGGTTAAAATAGTAGGGTTTATTTAATTAAATTGTAAACACCCAAACTACAAAACACTTGTTAAAGGGGAAGGGTGGCAAAAGTAGCGTAATGAGAGTGTGTAAATGCAAATGATGATAAAAAAAAAAATACTAAGACGATGTAGACAACGCCGACGCAGCCGCCGCTAGATTAAATTGTGATAAACTTATTGTAAAACATAAATTTAATATTTTTTCTATAAAAAACGCTCTAATATCCTTTTTTAAACATGTAATTCCATACACTCTTCTACTGTCGAACAAAAACAAAAAGTTTATTTATACTTTTAGTAAATGCTATATTGATCTAATAGCTAATTACTTTCAAATTTCGATACATTTAACGCTTGTTATTTTTAATACACATTTGTTGTTATTATTGTAATACAATTAAAGTTCTCTGCTTCAAATGGCAGCAAAGAAATTACAAAAGACTTGAAAATAATGGGTATTTTTTATTTATTTATTTTTTTTTTTGTATAAATATGAGTCATACAACTGTTCAAATAAGCAACGATCTGTGCGCTTATCTTATTCTTATCAATGTCGTTAAGACAGTATACACATACGTGTTTGTATACTGCTTGCTTGTGAGTTGTTTGTATGTGCCACGAACGTGTACAACTACAAGTGACTGGCAAAAAAGAGTTCATATTTCAAGTATTTATATTTTGAAGATATAAATTAGTGAAAATATTTGCTTTGTTTGCTCAAGGGGTTTTATATTCAGTATTTTTTACATCCACATATATATACATACCTACGTAGACTTTTGGTTTAAACGAATGTAGGGTGCATTATTTACCTCTAGAAGCGAACAAAATGTATTTGTGAGATTTCCAAGTGTGTTTTTTGCTTTTCCGACATTAATAAAACAATCATTTTGCAGAGTCTACAAAAATATCGCATATGTATTAAACAGCATACATATTTGTATAAACCAATTTCATTATCAAATTGTGCCGGTATTTTCTTAAACTAGTTTTTACTTAATAAATATTATAAAAATATGCAAATTCTTTTGTTTTCTATAAACTACACTTAACATTATGAAAAAATATCAATACATATATTTAATTCAACTTTTATGTTAAATATAAAAATTGAAAGACTCAAAAGCGAACATTTGAATAAAGTTAAGATATACTAAATTTCAAAACTTACAACTAAATACATAATTCTCATTTATACACTTGAAATGCATAATTGTGTATTTATGCCAGGTCATAAACTAATTTACTATGCCGCACCGTTATGTTGGTGATTTTTTTTTATTTTTTTACTTTTTATATTTCGAGTTGTGATCATTGATTTTTGTATTTGCTTGCCGTTTCATAAAACTACTCTCTTTTGTTAAACATTTTTAGTTGGAATTCTAAAAAAATTCTTAATCACAGAATTACTACATTAGATTGTCATTTTTTTTTTTTTGCTTGTGTGTACACTCATTGTATTTTATTTATGTATACGAAAAATCTACTATAGGTTATTCCTTATACGATTTCAGACAGTGTTTTTTCCGATTTTTTTACCCTTCGCTTTTTTTCGGTTTACTCTTCCACACACCTTATTTGGTGCGATCGTGCTTTGAGGGTTCCACCTGCTTAGCAAATTCACTCATTACTTCCTTGTAGATGGCAGGATCCAAATTGCGTCCCAACATGTAGATGAGCCACCAATCACCAATGTCCAGTTTGCGTGAGAGTGATCGACAGATCTCCATGGGCACCATACGATTGCGAGCATTGAGCAGACGTGGCCGGAATTTGGGCATGAAAATGATACAAGCGCTAAAGAAAAGTATAACAAAACAATTAAGTTTTAATTGAAAAAAAAAACATTAATATGTACGCAAACTTACCGGAAGATCAGCAGGCCGACCAACATCACCAGCATAATCATGTACCAGAACCAAATGAATACATAAGTCTTCTCATTTACAATATTCAGTGGCAGTATGCACAGCGAATCGTGCTTCTGCAGCGAACCGGAAGCACCATATTTATGGAAGATACACTTGGTGACGCGTGGAAATATATAAACCATGGGGTCGACACGCTGCTCCTGTGGCACGTCCGATAGCTGCATTATGCGCGTGCCATAAGACATGAATTCGCCATCGAAGAAACGATTCATCAAATACATTTGCACAATAATATTGACAAAGCAGAGTGCCTCGCATGCCCAATAGCGCATGGCATAGAGCTTGTGGCGCTAAAACGATTATTATTTTTAATAAATGTTTGTTTTATGTGTGTCTAAACGCAAAAACTACCTTCACATGCTTGATTAGGTAGTCCAATAAGGCATCACGTTTCGCCTCCTTTTCCTCACGCGTACAAATCGTTAGATTCAGACCCATGACGATCATGCGCATTAGCCCACCTTCGAATTTGTCCCACAAAAACTTTGGTGTATAGCAAGCGATAGCCTAAAAGTATGCAAAGTTACAGAATAAATGTTTTTGTTGGTAATTTGTGGGCATAAGCTTATCAGTAGACAATGTTTGCAGGCGATCTTGTGCTGTAGCTGCTTGTATTGCATAAATATTGGGTAGTCGAAAAAGTCTTTTCGTATTTCTAATCAAATTTTAACTTTTTTTCCTATTTATACTAATAAATAGATAAACCAATATGTAATTAGCGAAAAAAAAATTCGATGTGGAAAATTTCTTTGGATCTTCTGCAGCTTTGGCTTGGGCAATGATCTATGTATCTCGATTTTCGTGAAGATATCTTGTCAATTGAAAAAGTTTTCCTTACAAGAACTTTATTTTGATTGTTCAGTTTGTCTAACAGCTACATATGTATGTGCTATAGTTGTCCGATATCGGATCCGTCCAAAAAGCTGCTTTTTGTGGAAGGAAGGTAAGGAAAAGGACGTATGCGAAATTTCGAATCAATATCGCAAAACTAAGTGACTAGTTAGCGAATAGACAGATATCAATAAACTCATGTTTGACAAAATACCGGCTTCCCAAAAGAAAAGTCGTTATTCTTGAAAAGTTTACACTTCTCGGTGGCTTCAAAAATTGAAGTTGTTTTTAAAAATATTATTCCTGCAATTATTATCTGAAAATTTTATATAATATAGCCTTTTAACTAGAACACGCCTCATTGATCGTAAATGATCGGCATAGTACTCAATTGCTCGCCGATTCTCTCAGCAACCGCAAACCGCATTTCTCGTATACAATTGCAACACTTGCTAATCACCCCTGCGCACTCGTAAAGACTTCCAGTGACCGCTTTTTAAGACGCCGCATTTGGCATTACACAACACCAGCACCGAAGCCGGTTAAAAACGGTCATTGATCTTGCCATGTTTGGTCCGTGAAATTTTCAGGCCAACTACTTTTTAAAATATTCTTTTGATCGCTTTTATGGCATTGATTTCGTGTGTCAATTTTTACTGCCTTTACAAGCAATTAAAATCAGAAATTGCATGTCTGGCTGTATGTCTGCTCAATTTATCTATTTTTTCACATGCACGACAAAGACGTTGTTTTTGCAGTCGAATGCCAAATATTCAACTTTTGTCCGAATTTCGTGAGCTCATGAGTGTAGGATTTATTTTGTTGTTGTGGTTTTTTTTACTATATTTTACTTCATTTAATTAAAGTTATTTCTATTTTTGGTGTCGTTTTCGGCCTCTTATTGTCTTGCAATTTCAAACTTCCTCCGTTTGTCTTGCTTAGAAGTTTGAAGCCTGAACTTTGATTTATATTATGGGAATGTCGAAAAATCTCTGCTTTAAGTGCTTCCTTTTTAATAATGGCTCGGTAATATAATTTCTGAATTTACGCACTCAAGATATCTCTCCTAAAGAATATTTATTTTAAGAAGAATTTGGAAAATCTTGCATAGGTGAAAAAATAGATTGGATAAAAATCCGTCTCTGCTTCGTTTGATAATACTTTTATTCGCTTTTCTTTTCTCAAATAACGCCAATTGGGATTTGCTGTTATGTTAAAGACTCTAATTGGCGAGTAAACTTATCTGTATCACTGATGTTATGATATCTAGTACTGAAGAAACTCTTTCCTGTCGAGAATCATTGCTTTGACTAAACTACAAAGCTTTTTACCCGAAAACTTTATAAACAGTAAGACGAAACTAAGTATGTGTTATTTCTGGAAGTCACACCTTTCCACCTGGTAGCTACTTGCAGGATCGTGGAACCGGAATCCAGCTACTCGTGGTGTATTTTTGTAGTGGGAACTGCAGACTTGAGAAGCACGTGTTCAATATGGTTAGAACCTCTTGTGCAAACAGCCGGGTTACCGAACTTGATCAGGAAATTCATGAGCACCTAATTCTAGATCCGAATAGGAAGTACATAGACCTTAAGTCACTATACAAACCTCCTACATAAACAAAACTAATGTGTGGGGAGAAGAGCAAGGTGCAGAAACGTTCAGAAAAGCTCTTCGATGATAATTGTTTGTCACGAGCACGTGTTTTTGATTGTTACAAGTTATTTAAAGAGGGTCGAGAATGCGTTGACGAGGAACCACGTCCAGGACCGTCATAAACATCAACTGATAACGAGCACGTCAATAAAATAAAGGAATTAGTGTTTGAGAATCGACGATCGAGTCAGAGATCTTACTGCCATCGTTGGAATATCGGAAGGATCAGTGAAAGTATTTTGAAAGATAAACTGGGCCTAAGAAAATGGAAAGCAATATTGGTTGCCATTAACGTCTGTGAACAATGCTTTTCGACTACCAGGATTTCAGGAAACGTATTATTATTGCCGGCGACGAGTCTTGGATCCATGCTTTTGACCCGGAAACAGACGATCAATCAGCCGAATTTGGTGGCAAAGGTCAAAAACCAAGGTTATGTTAGTCGTTTTCTTCGACGATCGAGATGTGTTGCACTACGAATTCCTTTCGACCGACCAAACTGTCAACAAGCAATACTATTTGAGTGTTATGCGAAGCTATTTGTAAAACAAGGCCGGAATTATGGGTTTTACGAGAAGACACCGTCGCATACTGCATTGATTCGTCTTGAGTTTTTTTTTTTTTTTCTAAATTTTCAACCAAGTCTTACTATTTTTTGCTAATAGTAGTATTTACCTGACGAAGAACTGTCAATTTGA